TACTACTTCAGTTAAGAAAATTTCAAGTTGTGATTCTCATATATACCTTAACTGGATTCACTCGGGTATCTATATCATATTGTCTTCTTGTCTTGTCTGAGTCCATGAGTAGCTCGTTTGCAACCTAAATCTTGATGAATCTTGCTTCTGTTGTCTCTCCTTCCTCAACTGTCCATTTTCCATCATAAACACATGACAAAACCCAATTAGTCAGATAAACAGAATCCAAAAAGGAGTCACAGCTTTGTGATAAACAAAGTGACTCCTTATACTAATAAACAGTGTCTCAAAAAGAAGTTCTTAACAATCACAAAACTAACTTTGACACTTTGGCCAGTTGTTATGTGCGACTAGTGCTTATGTGCAACTACAAGATCCCAAATTGTGAAATGTAGCTCAACAAGGAGTTGTTCACAATCAAAATTCTAACTTTGATAGGCGGTAGTTTCACATAATTCATGAAAAACTATATATGTATCCTCTAAAGATCCAGAAAAGTACCATCGAGATGATAAGATTTGGATAATCGTCTGTATGTCACCATAATATGCTCATCTCGGCCCAACTCTGTACTCAAACCAAACAACATAGAACAATATCTTAGACTGAAAAAAAGGAAACACAATACGCAAGAAAAAAATCGAATCAAACTCATAATTCAATAGAAAATCCTTTTAAACTCAAGTTATGGGTTCTGAAGTTTAAGATTCACCGCTGAAACCCTACCCAAACTTCTTCACGAATCCATATCCTGAAACGAAATTTACAAATCAATTTTAGAATCTCTACCATACGAAGGAATTTAGTCATAAACACGAAGGAATTTAAGAAATTTTTACCATACGAAACCTCGAGCTATGGGTGAAGAGAAGTTTCGGAGATAGAAAAAAAAGACCTCAAATCGAACTGAGATATGATTTTCCACCGTTAGAATTGACCTTCAAAGGGAGATGAACGATTCCAAGGCAATTGGAGACAAAAAGTAACGAGAAACCCCATAATCGAATCGAGTTCTCCGATTTCGATTTTGAGAGAAGAAGAGTGTCATTTGGAAGCAACACACAAACTAATTTTTGTTTTTCATCACAAATGAATAAACGAATAAAGAATTAAATTATAAATTGATATGTTAAAACTTAAAGTCGGTTTCATAAGCGACGTGAATTTCCTTCCTTTTTTATCAATTTCGCGTCACCGTCGTTTGGAAAACGACGTGTGGTGATTAATTTCTTGTAGTTTTAACGGCTTAATGTATGCGGGAGCAAAAATATTGACGCATGAGAATTATCTGTTTTTGCTTTAGATACGTTCCCTTAAACGAAATCAAATTCATTGTACAAAATCCAAGTTCATTGTTGCATAATCTCAATACCTTACGTCACGTTGATATGAGAAATTTGACTATGTATGGTATATATATGTAGGCATGCTCGTCCTTTTTTTGTAAAAAGCAGCGCCGCCTAAGTATTACGTATTTTGTTTATATTTCTTTTCTTTTTTTGTGTCCAATACTTTCCATTCCATTATCAAACATTACATTGGCCATCTTACAATGTACCTTTGAGAATGAACTCTCGATCGTTTAGCTAATTGATCACCGTAGCATTTGCCTGTCGAGAGATCCATAAGAAAGTGAAATTACAAAATCTTGCTATTCTAATAATATCTTGAAGTTGAACTACATAGGGAAGGTGTCTAACATGTGAAGAATCCAAATCCAACCTCGATGATTGAAGAAAGCTATATATCTTTTAAATATCTCCACAAAAAGTGACGTTCCGATAGCCTAGTCTTTGTAATTCCACAACAGCCATTCTCAAGGCTTCAACTTCCGCATATTCTGAAGACTGTGTAGGTGGCAACGATTCAGAGCCACTTAACAACTGCTTTGAATCACAAGCATGCAAACTCCAGCCTATGCCTATATTATCATGTTGTGAGATCCAATATGCATCGACTAGACAACAATTGTGATGCACCTGCTGAAAAAGTTCACGCAATGTTTTTGGTACCATTTCAGATTCTCGTGTTATTGAAATAGATCGACAATCCTGAGACCTATCTTTCTGCTCAAAGTCCAAAGCCTCCAACCAAGTATGATAGTCCTGAATAGCCTTATTAATAAGCAATGGAATGGGTATCCGTTTATGATTGAAAATTATCTCGTTTCTTTGCTTCCATATTCGCCATCCCAAAAAATGCAATAACATAGTTTGATCTGGAGAATCTTGAACAGCCGATAAAAAAACATCATAGTTATCCGTTAAATCATTTGAAAGCAAAGATTCAACTTCAGGACTTGTAATTACCGACAGCTCCCAAACCTCCCTACTTACTGTACATTGAAACATCATATGATTAAGAGATTCCTCTTTTTCACCACATATGGAACAAATGTTATCATTAAGTATTTTTCGATTCTTAAGACTACTAGCAACCAAAAGGGTCTTATGTAACACTCTCCACCAGAAATGTTTAATTTTAGGAAGCAACTAATATCCCCATAATGATTTAAATAAAGAGATTGGTGTTTGAGAACACTGACCATGTTTGGCTCTTAAGAAGTTATATCCTGATTTAACCGTGTAAGCTCCATGAACTGTATGAATCCATGATATTATGTCTTGGACTCCTGTTATTGATGGTCTCAGTTGTTGAATTAAAGGGACATCAAGGGGATGTATTAGAAATCGCACCTTGTCAATGTCCCAAGCAGTTGTACCAGCTAAGAAAAGATCTTTTACCTTAAGTTCTGGATTGATATTGGCTTGAGCCGGTTTTGGTGCAGTTGATGGATTTGTAGGAAGCCATTGATCCCTCCAGACATACACAGTCTCCCCATTGCCAATGTGCCATTTGATACCTTGTTTTAACAACCTATTGCCTTGAAGT